TTCCACTTTAACTTTCCCACGATAATAGCCCTGACTCAAGTCAGAGAACCAATGTGGTTGGCTTTCTGTGCCAGTTGCTGAGTGTATCTATTCCAATCATGCATTCCCAAACTGCACAGTGAAATAACCACAGGATGGTTTCAGGGATCCCTGGACCCACTGTGAGACAGACTGGAGCTAAAACTCCATTGATTCACCTGACTTCTATAAACTCCTACTCCAATTGGAAGATCACAGTGACATTTTTAGTTTCCTGGAACTAGTGTTAGTTTAGGTCTGTGTCTGGTAATCCTTGAAAGGTTTCTTTCTTTTTCCCAATGCAGTTACTCTAGCAAAAGGCCACAGATCCTTCTGGGAAAGACTGGGAGAAAGATTTAACAGTATATATTTTTGGCAGTGTGTGGGATCCTTCCTCAAGGGCACCTAGTCTCCCCTTCATCCAAGGGGTTCTGGGTCTATAAACCAGTTCAAATCTAGGAATTTATTGAGGGGCCATAATTCTGGTTTTATTATTCAAATTAGACTTGTTCACTTGACCTAAAACCCTTCTGCTTATATAGATCAAGTGAGAATTTAATAAATTTCCCATGTATTTCACTTCAAGGAACTTCATGATCACCTAGCCAAACTACAACTCTGTGAGTCAGACTTTTTTTTTTGAGACAGAGTCGCTCTATTGCCTAGGTTGGAGTGCAGTGGCACAATCTCGGCTCACTGGAGCCTCTGTCTCCTGGGTTCTCCTGTCTCAGTCCCCCAAGTAGCTGGTACTACAGATGTGTGCCACCACACCAGGTTAATTTTCATATTTTTGGTAGAGACAGGCTTTCACCACGTTGGCCAGGCTGATCTCAAACTCCTGGCCTCAAGTGGTCTGCCTGCCTCAGCCTCCAAAAGTGCTGGTATTACAGGTGTGAGCCACTGCGTCTACCCGCGTCAGATGATTCTTCTGATTGCTGCTTTAACTCTGCTGTCCATTATAATAATCATTCCCACCTTGCCTTTGGCAATAGTGTCTCTACCTGCCACCATGGGATTCGATTACTCCCACTGAATTTAGGTTTCCCAATTCAGTGGTAGCAATTCACACTGTAATTTTAGACCTACAGGAAACAGCAATCACAGAGGTCTTTAAGGATGCTGAGGCTCCCCTCACAAATTTACTTCTCAGTTATGGTGAAGTTTCCTCTAGACTTCCCTCAGGGTGGGAAAGCTGGTCTTTTAAATGATAAAGCTACTCTAACATTTCAGTCTCCCTAACCCTTTGCACTACTTCCTCTATAACAAGGCAGGAGTGGCATTTCAGCTTCATTTACTGAGGGGAAATTTTGGTCCATGTTTCAACCAATCAACCAACCAACCAATCAATCAACCTACCAACCAACCAGTTAGAGCAGGCACTTTTGATCCCCCATGCTGCAATATTAAATCCAAAATCTCTGCTTTGTGGGCCCATATCAATAAACTGAGCCTGATCCAACATTATGTTCCTTCCACCATTATCACATACCCTCAATATCCATTTCCACACATATTCTCAAATGGTAAGAATCATGTAGTTCTCGAGTGTAGCACACCTCATGGATCTCACTTTTACCTCACCTTTGTGGCCCGCTGGGACTTGGGTCTAGTTATAGGTTTAGAAGCAAAGAGGGGTGGTCACGAGTGGGTCCTGAGGACAAACAGCAGTGTTCTGCAAGGCAGTTATCTCAGGGGAGGACATTAATTTCCTCAGGGAAAGCAGTTAATGTCAGATTAGGTATAATCAGTTTAGGTAAATCAGTTATCTCTGCTTCTACTGGCAATGAAGACTCATCAGAATTTAGGTATCCAGTATTACCAGTTTCATCAGGATTTTCCCATGTCACCATTCCAATTTTCAGGATCCGATTTGTTCCCAGTCAATATCCTCACTTTAACAGTAGAGACACCTGCAAGGCTGGGAATTCAGTTTGCATTGTAATTCAGGCACTTGCAAAATGAGATTCAGGGTTTGGTTTCAGAAATCTCGACTCTGCAGGTATAGAAGGTAAAAGTTTCTTTCAAAGCAGACACAGAAATGTTCAGTCATGTAAGTAGCACTTGAGAATTCAGATCCCTGAAGTCATCCTTTTCTTTGTCCATTTTGTGCAGTGCAATTAAAAGCAACCAACCAATCTTACTGGTTTGACAAAAGTTTGAAGGTATCATATATCTCTGTCAAAACATTAACTGAACATGCACTAAAAGGAACAAAGACTTTAGCGATCACACATGACAAAGAATAGTCTCTGCAAAAAGTTTGGGCTGGGCACAGTGGCTCACACTTGTAATGCCAGTACCGTGGGGGGCTGAGGTGGGCAGATCACTTGAGGCCAGGAGTTCGACACCAGTCTGGCCAACATGGTGAAACCCCATTTCCACTAAAAACACAAAAATTAGTAGCCAGGTATGGTGGCGCACACCTGTAATCTCAGCTACTCAGGGGGCTAAGGCTTAAGAATTCCCTGAACACAGAAGCAGAGGATGCAGTGAGCTGAGATCATATCACTGCACTCTGGCCTGGGTGACACAGCGAGACACTGTCTCAA